TTAGCAAAATTTGCAAAAAAAAGAGAAAAATTACAAAACCCTGTCGGCGTTTTTCATGATGAAATCGTACATATCATAATCTCCTAGCTCGAGGATTAGAAATAATTTTGTTTGCGTGTCAATGACTTCGTACAAGCGAACAATATTCGGATGCTGCACCAATTTCATACACCGAACCTGAAAAGTAGCAAATTTACACAGCCGCAAAATCAATTCTAAGAATTTTTCTGACCTTCACTGCCGGAAGAAAAATCTATCCAAAGCTGCCCTCTCTAATGCACTGATCAGCTGTTGGTTAAAATAAGTGAGCAGTGCACTAATAACCAAGAAATTAAGAAAAAGTAGAAAAAGAAAGAGGGGGTAAATAAGACGGAGAAGGAATTCCCAAAACAGGAATGTTTCGGTCCATCAAATCATATATTATCGATGCTTTTATCCTTATTACTGATCGAACAGTTGCCAACTTCTCTTTTTTGAGCTTTTCACATCGAAACAGTTAAAATTCAAGCATTCAAACGATCTTTTTCACTGCATTTTTGATCTTTCAAACGTTAGCTCAACACAGCGTGCTAAACATCCAAATCTGATCCGCTCATCCGTTGGCTCTCATTTTTCTCACATGACAAGCCGAGCTGCTCTTCCTGGTATACATAAAAAGTTGATGTGAGATACAGGAACCACAGCGTTCCAACGGAGAAGTGCTGCAACTTGCTGACGCCTACCACACGCCATCCGATGGCCCGTTGCATTTTGCCTTCAATAACCGTCGTATTTCTTGCAAATCATGATTTTACTTTACCAAATATAAATGAGAAATAAAATGTACCGAATAAAATAACGGGCAGCACTACTGCAAAGACCTACTTCTTTCATCAAGTGCGATGCCATGGATGAGTCAAACTTCGTTTTGTCGATAACTTTCACGGCCACCTGAAAAGAAGGCCCCTCTGTATTTCATTGATTCAGTGCAGGAACTCAAATTTTCAGTGAAAAGTTAAGGCGAATTATTCTGTTACTATCATTATTATTATTAATGTCACTGTCACTAATACTACTATCACTATTATTAATGTTACTGCTAACATCGATATTACCATTAACATTACTATTGTTGTCAATGTTATTATTAACATCACTATTATTATTAATATTACTATCCCTACTAATATTGCTCTTATTAATATTACTACTATCATAACTGTTATGATTATTATTACTATTACTGTTATTACCACTGTTATTATTAATATTCCTATTACTATCACCATTATTGTATGTCAGGAAAAAAAAAAAGATTTGGCTGCTTTCATAATGAGGCAACGTTTTTCCTCCCCTCTGCTGGTGTTTTCTTTGATTTTTCCTAGAAATAGCAATAAAAATGGTTACCTTTTCACCGGTGAAGACGTGATTTGCAAGTTTGACGACGGCGAAATGGCCCTTGCCGATGGTCTTCTGCAGATCGTAGAGACCGGCGATGCGTGCATCGTGGATGCTCAGCGAGGATTTGCGCTGTACCGGCGGTGGGAACTGCGAGGACGACTTCTCTGCCATTTTCTCCCTCTCTCTTTGTCACTTTCTGTACAACTGCATTAGCATTAGTAGTAGTATTGGTAACTCGATGATCCCCCGCAGGCGGAATGCGCAAAAGCGAGTCTAAAATTGAATAGAATTAAACTAATTAGTGACGTCATACACACAGAAACTGCATGCATTCTGAGTATACCTCAAAAATGAGTGATATTTTGGTGGGAAATGAGGTAAGAGGGGCGATTTCTCGGGTAGTGGTCATCTGTTACTCGGACAACAACTTGAGGAAGTTGACAACAGAGATTCTTCGACAAGAAGTGAAATTTCTGAAGATAATGTACTCATCACAAGTAGAATTTTTCGCATATTTCACTACGAGAAAGATGAACGGTAGAGTGCTTATTTATTACCTCATCATGGTTTAAAAGCGGGTGCCGTTAGTAACCTCGAAGCTATAGTTCGGACTGTGTATACACAGCTAAGGAATGAAACACAGAGACTGCGTCATAAAATGTCTTCAGACACATGACATTCAAGTGAAATCCTTCCATTCCTCTATTTCTGCACTTAAGCAGTTCAAATCCATTAAGCGCCAAGACTCAACATTCCAGGTGCGGTTAGTAACTTTTAAACTTCCACACTTAAGCGAATGTTGCCACTCGGGAACAGCTGGTGATATTAAGGATATCTCGAAACGGCTAAAGGGTGAAAGATGAGTAAGGAGCTAGTAAATACTTCTAGGAGCTGGAACACAGATGTTCGAGTAGTCAGCAAGCTGACCACCAGGTGATGCAGCATTGGTCAAAGCAACTGTGGAAAAGTTGGCAGCTGATTTGTGCAGTACAAGGAATTAACTGCTGTTTCTTGCAACTGTGAGATGTGAATGCATTTTGAAGTATCTGGCGGAATAGTACCAATCTCTGGCAAGACGGCTGTTGAGATGGCTCCCTTTTCCGTGTGTTGCTTAGAAGCAATAAAATAATAAAATGAAGCATGCTAAATGTAATTAAGTGAAATTGTTGATGGGGGAATGACCAAAAATTGCATGTGTATGTGAGATGTTGAATGGGAGGGATGAGAATTGGGTTTTTTGAAGGAAACTGATGAGGAAAGAGGTAAAGATTAATAAGAAATAAAGATTCAAGCTGACTCCTTGGCATATGCCTGTACCAATTTACCACTGCTCGGGAAAAGACCAAAAAACATCGGTCAGTAATTTGCTTTAAACAGATTTATGCAGAAACAGTTAATTTTGTACTGTTTGTGTATTAGATTGTTTCGTGTCAGAATTAGTTGCTTTTTGCTACTGCCTGTATAATGCATCAATTGTGTTCCTCATGTGCACTGTGTTCGGCTTTTTGGTCATTTTATCTCGTAAAATACATGCGGCTTATTAGTAGTTGTGCATAAAGGGTATATAACCTGCGACGGGAAATAACTCGTTGCATTACGAATTCATCATCGAAATGAATGAACGAATCGTAGAGGGATCAGTTGTCCCATCGGGGAAGCAGAACCCGTGTCTTCCCCCGTATGCGAAAACAACCTCTGGCTTGTATTGACCACTTCACACACAAGAAACGATAATTGACCCCCACCGGTAAGTTCGATCGTCCCCCCCCCCTTGAATCTACCTCTTCGAGCACATATGCTTAGTGCGAAAATCCGGGGAACTTATTCAAGGAATCCAAAGAGCTCCCCATTTCGCTCTTTTGCCTCGCCAAGTCGAAAGTGATTCATTACTCAGGCTGCTAATTTTAACGGTCCGCATTTCACAATTAACGCAATCGCCAAGCAGGACACACACACGCACACACACACACACACACATATACATACACATGTCATACGCTTGGTACATAAGAAGCGAAACACAAAAGTATAGCGAAGACTCACAGCATTTAAGATCAGCGTAGCAGAAATTTAGCATTTTTAATGTACAGCGTCTGCGAAAGAAAAGCCAAAAAGTAGGGCTGTTAATAATGGTGCTAGCGAACTTTTCAACGGAATGAGTACGAACAAGTTCTTAACCGCTAAATTGAAGTTTTTTTCACGGCTAAACAATTAATGACTGGAGAATTGAGGCATACTTTTCACATTTGGCATGTGTAGTTTTTCAAATACAGACACACACACACATACACGCAGACTCGTACAGACAGAAACAGACAGGCAGACAGACTCGTGCAGACAGAAACAGACATAGACAGACATATACCGACAAACAGGCAATCACTGGAAGTTGGCGGCTTCTCAATCAAGGCTCTAATTGTGAGGTGTGAAAAAATGAAGCAGTGCTAGGTGGGAAGGCGAGAATGTGTGTGTGCTGTGCGTTAAGCAAGCTTGTAATTGCCCGATAAAACAAGTACACTCATTTATCCACCCACAAACAAACACCCTCAACTTGTTTACATACACACACAGACAATCCAGTCTCCTGAAACCTTTGGACTTTCACACTTGGCACTGTGCCAATTTGCCTCGTTGTCTCCTTTATCTTGATGGCTTTCCTTTCTTCTTTTTCCTCTGAAAATATTTATTTCAGTGAAAAATTTTTGAGTAATTCACATTTTCGTTTAAATCGTTCATTTCGAGAAACTGCTGGCTGAGGAGGACAAGTTGGCTATGGCCAAGCGAACCAGGGGGCGATGCATGGTAGGTGTCAGCAAGTTGTAGCACATCTCCAATGAGTGATGATTCTATCAGGGAAAGGCTGGGCTGGCCATGTGGGCGCATGGATGAGAGACAACAGATGGACTTAAAGCGGATTATTGAATGGTACCCAGGCAATCCATATAGAAGGCTGCTTTTCACACCGTGCAATAGGGTCTGCTTAAATACCTCCATGGAATTACTGGGTGCGATAGGGTGTCAAATTCGAAATAAATGGCTTCCAGCTATTCTTGCTACTCTCAGTGTGTTGCCAGTCGCTGCCCTTTCCGAAAGTTGCCCTTATAAGGAAAAAGTATGAAAAGGGGCTTTTTGAAATTCAACGGTTCCAGAGCTGGGCATGTGATGGTCAAAAGGGAGAATCTTTTGGAATTTGTTGAGCTAAGACGTATATGACATTGAGCTAAGACCGAAACATCTTAACTCTTTCTTACTTTGTTTCTTCCCTCATCAGCTATATTTCTACATCCATCCATACATAATTCGCTCCATGCCTACCCTATTTAAGTTCTTAACATTACTTGCATGCTACAATCAGCTTAGCCTGATTTCTCAAGACATCATGCGAGTACCGTCCATATGAGGTCCCCTTGTCTGCTAAGGATTTCCCTTGTTTTACACTTTGGTCTGTGCAAAAATAGTTGATATGTTGTCTGGTTCCTAAACTTCGAAATTTCCCATACCAATAAATTTCACGTTACCTCAGGTTTAGTTCAATTTTGTCGATTATAGCCGTATTATGAAGTGTTAAAATAGGCGCTTTTGGCTTGGATTAATTTTTTTTCAGGGACCAGCCGCTGGTAATGGAAAGTGGTGAAGCGTCGCGCCAGGAATACGCGCCCTCGCCTCGTCCGCTCAACGATTTCGACATGGCTGGCACGCGTTTTAAAGGTAATGGCAATTTTTCAAAGGGCGGCAGGAATCAAGCCGTTTGCTTCCCAACACGGATGCTGTTATTACTATATTATGTCACATAATGATTTATTGCTTTTTATGCGTTTTGTGCTGTGTGACAGCAGTACAAAACGCATATTGTCACTGGGTTTTCTGTGTGTGTTTGTTTGTTTGTGTGTGTACGTGTCCCA